AACTCTTCCAGCCTCTACCCATCACCCAGTTCCAAAGCTACTTGCGAATTTTTTGGTATTTGTTTCACCAACGATCCATCTCTTAGTACCAAAATCTGCAGCAGTTTTCTTGGATTGCCTTAACAAAATACCTTAGACTGGGTATCTTAAGCAACAGAAATTTATTTCTCACAGTTCTGGAGGCTAGAAAGTCCAAGATCAAGGGGCCAGCTGATTCAATTCCTGGTGAGGGCTTTCTTCCTGGCTTACAGATGGCTACCTTCTTACTGTATCCTCACTTGGTAGGGACAGAGTTCTGCTATCTCTTCTTCTTATGAGGGCACCAGCCCTATCAGATTATGACTTCACTTAACCTTTATCACCTCCTCACAGGCCCTATCTCCAAATATAATAATATTGGAGGTTAAGGCTTCAATATATGAATGGGGGGTAGACACAATTAAGTTCATAGCAATGAGTCTTAAATTGCTTATGTATATATATACATATATACACACACACTGAGGGTTTTAAGTTGACCCTTAAACAACATAAGCTTGAACTACATGGGTCCTCATATGGATCTTTTTCAATGAGACACAGATAGAAAATGCAGGATGTGAAACCCGCATATACAGTGGGCCAAGTTTCCATATAGGTGGGTTCCTAAGGGCCAAGTGAGGAACTTGATTATGCACAGATTTTGGTACATGCAGGGGTCCTGGAACCAATCCCCCAAGTATACTGAGGGATAACTGTAATACTTTTTTTTTTTTTAACCAAGTTTCACGAAAATGTTCCTATTATTCAAAGCATGATTTTTAATAAATGCATAATATTCTACCTTAATGACTACTATTTTTTACTGCTGTTTAACTATTAAGTCATTTTGAAATTTTGCTACTTAAATAATTCTGCAGTGAACATCTTTGTACATATATCTTTGTCTGCTGTGATGACTGAGGATAAATTTCCAGAAATTCAGCTGCTGAGTCAAAGTCTATTACTATTCAAAGACTTGGTACATATTGATAAACTGCTTCCCAGAAACCTGTAAGAATGTATACCCCCACCTGAACACAGATTATAATTAGAATAAACTTTTTTTATAAATAAAAAAAGATCTATGTCATAAATGACCAAAAAGGCACAGATTTTTTTTTTTTTTTTTTTTGGTGAGAGAGTCTCACTCTGTTACCCAGGCTGGGGTACAATGAATGGCATGATCACAGCTCACTGCAGCCTCCATCTCCCCAGGCTCAGGTGATCCTCCTGGCTCTGTCTCCCAAGTAGCTGGGACTATAGGTATGCAACACCATGCCTGGCTAATTTTTGTATTTTTTTGTAGATATGAGGTTTTGCCATGTTGCCCAGGTTGGTCTAGAACTCCTGGGCTCAAGTGATCCACCCATCTCCACCTTGCAGAGTCCTAGGATTACAGGAGTGAGTCACAGTGCCTGGCCAGATTTTTTTATTATTATATTAAAGATTTGGCCAGGCGTGGTGGCTCATGTCTGTAATCCTAGCACTTTCGGAGGGTGAGGTGGGCAGATCACTGGAGGTCAGGAGTTCAAGAACAGCCTGGCCAACATAGTGAAACCCTGTCTCTACTAAAAATACAAAAAAACTTAGCTGGGAGTGGTGGCATGGCCTGTAGTCCCAGCTACTTGGGAGGCTGAGGCATGAGAATTGCTTGAACCCGGTAGGCAAAGCTTACAATGAGCCAAGATCATGACACTGCACTCCAGCCTGGATGATGGAGCAAGACTCCTTCTTAAGAAAGGAAAGAAAGAAAAAAGAGAAAAGAGAAAAGTGAAAACAGAAAAGGATAGGAAAAGGAAAGGAGAAGAAAAAAGGAAAAGGAAGGGAAAGGAAAGGAAAGAAGGAAGGAAAGAAAAGAACAAAGAAAAGAAAAGAGGGAAGGAAGAAAAGAAGGTAGGTTAAAGAGGACAATAAATGAAATGTATGGTTATTGATTAGATCATGGCGGGGGAGGGCTATAAAAGTATATCAAAGAGATATCTGCGCTCCTATGTTTGTTGCAGCACTGTTCACAACAGGCAAGATTTGGAAGCAGCCTAAGCTTCCATCAGCAGATGAATGGAAAAGGAAAATGTGGTACATAAACACAATGGAGTACTATTTATCCATAAAAAAGATGAGATCCTGTCATTTGCAACAATATGGATGGAACTGGAGGACATTATGTTGAATGAAATAAGCCAGGCAGAGAAAGACAAACTTCACATGTTCTCACTCATTTGTGGGAGCTTGAATTCGTGGAGACAGAGAATAGAAAGATAATTACCAGAGGCTGGGAAGGGGAGTTAGGGGTGGGAGGAGATTAGGGATGGTTAATGGGTACAAAATATTGTTACCTAGAATGAGTAAGATCTAGTATTTGCTAGCACAATAGGGTGACTATGGTCAACAATAATTTATTACACATTTTTAAATAACTAAAAGAGTATAACTGGAATATTTGTAACACAAAGAAATGATAAATGCTTGAGGTGATGGATACCCCATTTATCTCGATGTGATTATTACACATTGTATGCCTGTATCAAAATACTCATGTGTTCCATAAATACCTACTAGGTACCCATAAAAATTAAAAATTAAATAAAATTTTTTAAAATACAAAAAAAAGCTTTCAAAATATTTTGGGGGACAATTAGGGAGTTCTTAATATAGACTGTATTATAGACAATATTACTGTATCAGTCTTAAATTTCTTGATTGTGATCATGGTATTTCAGTTATGTTGACTTTCCTAGCTCTTAGCAGAAACATACTGATGTGTTATAGCGTGTGCAGCTTATATTCAAATGATTCATAAAATACTTGTATTTTTGTGTATGTATGTATGGAGACAGAGACAGAGCAACATGAGAGAAAAATAAGAGGGGGATGAGGGAAAGAGCAAATCTGGTAAAATGCTTGTCACTGAACCTAGTAAAGGGTAATGAGTGCTCTTGGTACTATTCTTTCAACTTTTCTATAGGTTTTATTTCTCAAAATAAAAATATATGAGGAAGCAGGCAAAAGACAAGAATGGCTTATTCATAGAAAAATAACATAGCCTATAAACATATGAAAAATACATGGGAATAAAGTTGCTTGATTATTTAAGGTTTTTTATTTCCTCCTGCCCTCTTGGCATTTGTGCTTTAATCACTTCAATTGCATTTCATCAATGAGACCTGGAAGGAGTAGGAAGTGAAATCTCAATCATTACATTTTGCTTCTCATTAGCAGTCCTGGAAAAAGGTTTAAAAGATTAAATCAATCAAAATGAACTCATTACAATGAGTTTTGAAAAGGACCTGTAAACCTGAAAACCTGGTTTTCAATTCAGATTCTTCTGACCTTAAATGTTTGGCCCTAAATAGCAAAAAACAAAAGTTAGTAATAAATCATATGAAAAATAGGTTTTCTTTAAATAAAGAAAAAAAAATGTTCACCTCTACCATTGGCCTTTACTTTTATCAGGAAAGTGGGCCTATAAAATGTACCAAATTGAAGGCAACCAACGGATTCACAAACCATGGACAGAGGTTTTCCTTTTCAGAAACAATATGAAGGAAGCAATAACACAGTGGTTCACACAGAGGTAGGGGCCACTAAGTCAGGTTTTCTGTGTTTGAATATTTACTTCACCAGTTACTAGCTATGTGATTTGTGGCGAATTACTCAATCTATTTATGCTTCAGTTTCCTGATCTCAAAAATGGGAACAACAGTAAAATCTGTCTTAGGGGTGTTGTGAAGTTTAAAAAAGTTAGAATACTTAAGGTCTCAGAATGGCATCTGGCATACTGTAAGACCTCAATAGTGTTAGCTGCTATGATTTGTTTGTTTTGAAACACAGTCTTGCTCTGTTGCCCAGGCTGCAGTGCAGTGGCACAATCATGGCTCACCACAGCCTCGATTTCCCAGGCTCAAGTCATCCTCCCACTTCAGCCTCCCAAGTATCTGGGACTACAGGCATGTGCCACCACACCTGGTTAATTTTTTTTTTTTTTTTCTGTAGAAATGAGATCTCAGTATGATGCCAAGGCTGGTCTCAAACTCCTGGGCTCAAGCAATCCTCCTGCCTCAGCCTCCCAAAGTGCTGGGAACCATGCCTAGCCTACAGTTCTTATTATTGCTAATATTACAACAACAAGTGATACAATCATTACCATCATCTTCAACTTACAGTTGATGGAGTTTGGCATGAGATTCAGAAAAAACAGAGTAACATAAAAGTATCACAATCCCCCCCTACACACACACACACACACACACACACGTACACACATCACAGGTTGGAAAAGTGAAATAGATCAGACTCTAAGTCAGTCCTTTAGTGTCCCAAGCTGTTTTGAGGGAAACTGAGAAAGTAACAATATACCAAAAATGTATGGCTCATTTCAAGACGTAATCTGTGTGATCTTAACAAATCAATCTCAGGAGAAATAAGTCAATCATTTATCAAATTTTATTGAGGTGTACTATGCATCAGGTGTTGAGTCAAATGCAAAGAACAGAAAATGGAACAATGTCTGTGTCTTTTAAAACTTTGTGTTCATGTCAACGAAATATATATATGTCATATGATGCATGTGCACACGGAACAATGGAAGCACACAGGAGAGACCTAAGTTAGACTTGGGGGAAGCAGAAAACAGCACAAAGATTACCCAGAGTGATGATATTTAAGCTGAGCCTTAAAGAATAATAACAGGTAAACAGGGATAGAGAGGGTCAAATCATTCCTTCAGGGGTAGAAGCTAGCAAATGTAGAAAAAAAGATGAACCCTATTCCCTGCCTATAGCCATACAAAACCAAAAAACTTCTGCCTAAAGCTAAAAGACAGATAGCCATCAGAGGAAGGCACCTGAACAGATGTGCTTCAGGAATATCTTCTGTTTACACACATGACATCCCCACCCTCCCCAGCTCAGAATAACCCATATTCGGAGAAGCAACAGAAAGCTACAATTAAGAGATTCGTAGACAAGTTTCTCACTTACAACACTGGGCGGCAGCAGTGGGCAATGGCTTCCTCTGGCTTTCTTCTTGACTAGAATACTAGAAGCAGAAAGGAGAAAATAAATAAATAAATAAATAAATACAATCAGAAGCCCAAGTAAAGAAAGGGAAAAAATCACAGCTACCTATAAAAAAGTTTAGTGTTTGGAGACAAAATTTTTATTGAACAAAAACAGAACATCCTGCTCCTATTTTCTCTGTGTGATCCTGACATATAGGCCAGACTATTGGTTATGGCCCTGGCCAAGTGAGACAGGCTAAATACAGCAGGATAATGGAGAACTGTCCTGACCAAGGGCGCCTGGGCACCCACTCAGCTCTGCCAGGCAGCTGTAGAAGGTTTGGCCTTAGAATCCTTAGAATATTTCACAGTCCTCTGAGTTTTCCTGGAGCTAATGTATAGGAGATTTCCCTATTCAGGTGATGCAAGTGACAACCTATCTGGGGTTGTTTTCTCATTTTTAAATAATAGTGCTTCTTTGCTCATAAGGTCACGTGGGAAGTAAGTGGAACTGCTTACCTAAGCATGTGGTGCAGTATCTGGTATCTACAAGAGTTCCTCTCCCACTAGCACTGTAACCTCTGCCATCCCACTCACCACGACCACCACAAAAACAAGTACACGGTACTGAAGACATAAGAAAATGTTCCATAAAAGGAAAATAATTATGTCCAAATCTTGAGGATGGGCCTGATTTAGAAGGCAAAACAGAAAGAGAAAGGCACAAACAAATCAACAGAGTCTGGAAGACAGTGAGGATAGTCTGGTTCAGAGTCCATTGGAGAATTAGAAAAATGTATCTTCGGCCGGGCACGGTGGCTCATGCCTGTAATACTAGCACTTTGGGAGGCCAAGGCAGGTGGATCACCTGAGGTCAGGAGTTCGAGACCAGCCTGACCAACATGGAGAAACCCCGTCTCTACTAAAAATACGAAATTAGCCAGGTGTGATGGCACATGCCTGTAATCCCAGCTACTAGGGAGGCTGAGGCAGAAGAATCGCTTGAACCTGGGAGGCGGAGGTTGCCGTGAGCCGAGATCATGCCATTGCACTCCAGCCTGGGCAACAAGAGCGAGACGCTGTACCAGAAAAAAAAAAGAAAAGAAAAATGTATCTTGGCCAGCAACTTGCAAACATGAGATTTGGAGTTCTCATCCTGACCTGGTCACTTATTCATAAGCTATGAGATCCAAGGCAAGTCAGAGCTTCTCTAAAACTGTCAATGAACGAGTTACTTATTAACTCAACAAATATTGATTGAGTATCCACTATGTGCAAAGCCTTGTTCTAGGCACTGGGAAAACAGAATTTGTAAATCATGGTAAGAATTCGAACTTTTCTAGTGTGCTGAGAAGCCCTTTTGGGTTTTAAGCATGAGAGGATTATGATTTGATTATACTTTTAAAAGATCTGGCTGCTGTATGAGATGAACTGTAGGGAACACAAGGAGAAATAGAGTAATTATTGCAACAATCCAGAAAAAAGTTAATGGTGTTGTACAAAACATTATGAGTATCAGTAGTTAAGAGCATTTCAAATGGTTGGGATCCAAAATACAAAACATTTTTTGTATATAAATATACTTGATAAGCAATAAAGTATGGTACAAATGTCAAAGGTAGATACTGTTATTACTAATTTCCACGGAGAATAAGAAAAGTTAAGCACAGTGTAAACAATATGATAGCACTAGCAAAACTGCGAATCACAAAAATGTTCAAAACATCTTTTTTTAGACAGATTCTCGCTCTTACGCCCAGGCTGGAGCGCTGTGGAGTTATTTTGGCTCACTGCAACCTTCGCCTCCTGGGTTCAAGCAATTCTCGTGCCTCAGCCTCCCGAGTAGCTGGGATTACAGGCGTGAGCCACCACACATGGCTAATTTTTGTATTTTTAGTAGAGATGTGGTTTCACCATGTTGGCCAGGCTGGTTTTGAACTCCTGACCTCAGGTGATCCGCCTGCTTCAGCCTCCCAAAGTGCTGGGATTACAGGTGTGAACCACTGTGCCCAGCCAAGTTCAAAACATCTTGAAGGTCAAACATCCACTCCAAAGTAACAAAAGAACTTGGTTATAAATAATAACCACTACAAATAATTATGATTTTTATAAACAGTACATAGACATAACCATGAGGAATCCCAAAATTTTAAGTATTAAGAAGAATTCAGACCTAAGAGATCAGAGTAGACATTTTCAGAAGCTATATTTAATGAATCTGTTCCAGGCCCAAAACACAAAGCTTAAGTCCAACTAGAGTATAATTAATAATGTTAAGATGGCTAAGAAAAAAGCTACAAAATCTATCTACAAAAAACAGACAAGGATAGTAGAAGAAAGGAAAATTATAGGCCAATTTCAGTTATGAATATAGAGACAAAAATCCTAATTAATAGATTACGAGGCCAAATCTGTCATATAAGTGTGTGTAATATTCATATGTGAATATGTATGTATATGTGTGCATACGTATGTATGTTAGCATATAAATGTACATATATCCTGTCCAGGTGAATATTAAATGCTAGGCCAGTTCCATATCTGAAAATCTACTCATGTAATTCACCATATTAAACAGATTAAAGGAGAAAAACTATGTGATCTAATAGATGCAGAAAAAGATTTGATAAAACCCCATACTTTTTCATGACAAAAATGCTTAGAGAATAAAAAAGAAAACAGAATTTCCTTAATCTGATAAAGAGTATCTAACAAAATCAGTGGCAAACAGCATACTTTAAAACTTATAAAGCAGTCCCCTTACAGTCAGAAGACGGACAAGGCTCTCCACTCTTACAATGTTAAAAATTATACTAGATGTCTTAGTCATTGAATGTTTTAAATAAAAGGTCATGAGAAACAAGAAAAGTCTGAGAAAATATCACAACCAAGAGAAGCCTAAGGAGACATGACAACTAAGTGTAATGCAATATCCTGGATGAGATCCAATGACAAAAACAAAAAAGACACAAGGTAAAAACTAAGGAAATCTGAATAAACTATGGAATTTTAGCTATTTTTTTAGCTAACAATAAAACAAATAAAAAATACTCTTTAGCTAATAATAATGTATCAATATTAGTTCATTAACTGTAACAAATGCATCATACTAATGAAACTGCCTTTGCAAAAATCATAACTAAGGAAAGTATGACAGAGAAAGAAATCAGACCTAACCAGTTCCATCTTGCTTCTAATCTTTAAGCTGTCCTTGTTCATTCCTGGGCATAGGCTGAACTAACTTGATAATAGCCCTTTTCCAAAAAGAACCCCTTCTTGCCTGGGGACCACTCTGCCTTTGCAGGACTAACAAATTAGCTACAAGATTAGAAATCACTTTAGGGGTCATGCAGCCTCTGGCTCCAAGAGTGTCCAAGAGTCTGAACCTCACCAAATTGCTCCTGGGAATAACATCACTATTATAAAACCTAAGATCAGTGCTTGGGATATCTTGCAGACCCTGCACTAGATGGATCAGCTGACACTACCCGTCTGGCCCAACCAGTTCTGCCATCCCACCCAGGAACAGAAGACAGCAAGAAAAACTCACTTCTACCTGCTATCATTCCATCTCCAACCTAACCAATCAGCATTCCCCACTTCCCAAACCCCTATCTGCCAAATTATCTTTAAAAACTCTGATGCCTGAATGCCCCAGGAGACTGATTTGAGTAATAATAAAACTGCAGTCTCCTGCACAGCTGGCTCTGGGTGAATTACTCTTTCTCCACTGCATCTCCCCTGTCTTCATAAATCACTTCTGTCTAGGCAGCACATAAGGTGAACCCGTTGGGCAGTTACACTAATGTAAGATGTTAATAATAAGGGAAATTATAAGATGGGGTGGGGGAGGGGATGAATATCTGCTCAACATTTCTGTAAATCTAAAACGTCTAAAAAATGAAGTCTGTTAATAAAAATATATGTATAAACAGGCCTGGCACAATGGCTCATACCTGTAATCCCAGCACTTTGGGAGGTCAAGGTGGGCCGATCACCTGAGGTCAGAAGTTCAAGACCAGCCTGGTCAACATGGTGAAACCCCATCTCTATTGAAAATACAAAAATTAGCTGGGCATGGTGGCACATGCCTGTAACCCCAGCTACTTGGGAGGCTGAGGCAGGAGAATCGCTTGAGCCCAGGAAGTGGAGACTGCAGTGAGCCAAGATCGTGCCACTGCACTCCAGCCTGGGTGAAAGAGTAAGAATCTGTCTAAGAAAAAAATAAATGAATAAATAGGCTACGTGTCGTGATGCGTGCCGTAACCCCAGCTACTTGGGAGGCTGAGGCAGGAGAATCGCTTGAGCCCAGGAAGTGGAGACTGCAGTGAGCCAAGATCGTGCCACTGCACTCCAGCCTGGGTGAAAGAGTAAGAATCTGTCTAAGAAAAAAATATATATTTTATATATATTTATATAAAATGTATAAACAATTCAAGCACGTAGAAACATAAAGCGTAAGGACTGCAAGGAGAATAAAAACTGTAATTTAAAGATGCAAAACCTAGTTACATAGAAAATCTAAGGGAATCTCTAAACTATTAGAACTATTAGGGGTTGATGAGTAAGATCAATACTTTAAAAAGATGAGTAGCAAAGCATTTACTTATAATAGTAATGTGATAACCAACTAGATAGTGTAATTTTTAGAATGTACCATTTGCAACAATTAGGAAAAAAAAATCTAACAAAAGTAGTATAACACTTACGTGGAGAAAAAATATCTTCCCCCCTGCTATAGCCTGAAAATTTGTATCCTACCACCCCTGTCCCCACCAAAAATTCACCTGTGTGATGATACTAGGAGGTAGGGCCTTTGGGAGATGATTAGGTCATGAGGGTGGAGCCTTCATGAATGGCATAAGCACCCTTAAAAAAGAGGCTCCAGAGAGCATGCTTCCATCACATGAGAATACAGCAAGGTGCTGTCTATGAACCAGGAAATGGGCCCTCACCGGACAATGAATGTGCCAGTGCCTTGATCTTGGACTTCCCAGTCTCCAGAACTGTAAGAAATAAGTCTCTGCTGTTTATAACC